TGTCTGTGTATGACAAGAGAATGATAAAGAATATTGATGAGAGGACAGTTCCTTGTTGTACGGAGTTTTTTACTATTATTTAGTAAGTTCACTGGTACCCCTTTCCGACTTGTTTATCTGAAAATATAACATCTATCCCCCATATCGTCCTGTTTTCCTTGCTATTCGATTGGACCTCATTTTGGGATCTCTACTGTACTTATATTTTCAAATGCTTATGTAAAGGTCTGTGTATACAACATTGCATTATTTTCTTCTATTTAGTAGTTGCAATAGGCAGTCTTTCTCTAAATCCATATTGACTCGAGTTAGCTGTTGATTACCTGTTGACGATTTAGAGTTCTACTCCTGCAGCCTTCCCTGCTGATTGTCTGGTCTGTGAATCCGAGTGTCCTCATAACCCGAAGGTCCACATAGCTATCACAACCAAACTGAGCCAGTAACTCCAGGTAAAACTTGTCCAGTTCTCTCTTTTAAAGCTTTCCCTGTTGTTTCAGCTACATTTCTTGGATTTTGTAGCTGGAGATTGATGTGTCGTCGGCCTCTGATGTTTACAATGTGATCCTTTGTGCTTAAGGCACCCTAACTTTTCACTGGAATTATTTTGAACTTCCTACCATATCTCTCATTCCAGTATGTTGTAATTTTATTGTGAAGTTTTGGAACCTGGCCTTCCTACACTTTCAAGCTCGAAATTTCACTTGCTTTGAATGGGAATGTGAAGGCTGAACAGTATTATTCATAGAGATAACACTATTATTTTGAAGAGTACCATCATTGGTATGGCAGACCATGTTGTGAAGATTTCCATTATTAACCCAATAATTTTCCTTGCTGTTGCAATATTTGCTTTATTATGATCTCCAAACATTAAAACTTCTAACAATATTCCTAGGCCTTTGACTTTGTCACTCTTTTCTAGGATTATGATTGACTGTCAAGTATCCTGTACTACTCTCAAGGTTTTTGTTTTCCTATACCGAAATAACTGTAGTTTGACATCATTAAACATCATATTATTTTCTGTTGCCGATTTCAAAATCATGCTATTATCAGATTGTAATTTTTCTACAACTTCCACTGATTTTCATACTTGCTTTGATTTCTTCAATGAAGGATGACACGAAACTTTGGCATGTATTATAAAAAGAACTTCAGCCTCATACGTGTGGGGTCCATAGTTGAGTCTCCCAGAGCGCAGGTGAATGGAATGTTTGGCATGTATTCGTATTTCTTCTATGAGGATGAGGAAGAGTAATGGTGCGAGAAGAGTAACGTGAGACCAAACTTTGCACAATGCTCAACCTGGATTCAAAATCCAGCCTGAGTACTTCCTGTGTAATCTGTTTTAATTACCTGTAATCTGTCTGTAAAAAAAATACAATTGTTAAAACATTGTAAGACAATCTGTTATTGTCTTAGGTTTCACTTTTATGGGCAAATATTCCATGGTTACATTTATCATATGATTTTTGCAAAGTTTGTGAATATAACATTTGTAATTTGGCTTGCTCATAAAACCTCTGTAATTTTGTCATAGTGATAAAGCAATTGCAAAAGATCTTCCTGCTTTAAAATAGTGTTAACCTGGATTGTATAATTCATTCTTTAATGTATGATGTTAGCACAACCAGTCTTTTAGTTTTTTGCCTTTGCTTTCATATATCCTTTGTGGAGTGGAGCTATATCTGCTAATTAAAGTGCTTCTGGTATTTTGTCAATATCAAAGTTTTATTAACATGTTACACGGTGCCCATACTACAGTACTGGTAATTTGCATTTACTTTTACTTTTTGTATAAGTTTTTTCCAGGAGTCAGGACCCAGGGTTGAGTGAATGTCAATTTCTTTTTCAAAGTTTCTTGGACTTGCATTAATATTTGTTACATTTCCAAGGTGTAAATATCATTCATGAAGAGGCTGTCAGGGTCTTCAAGCATAATAATGTTCATTCAGGATTTCTTTTGTCATCCATGAATCTCATATTGTAAGTATAGGATCAATAGACTACTAGTTGAGGATACTGTATTTATTTTTATTTTGCATATGTAAGAAAGTATTTATATGTTTTTCTTAACTCTTGATTGGCTTTTTCGGTTTTTATTTCTTACCTTCGACATATATTATCTTTGTTGATTTTTATCTTTATTGAGATATTTGTGCTTGCTTGAGCACTTGGCTTATCATTTAAGTCTTCTACATTCTCTTTCTATGTTGGTCCTCCTCAAAAGGGTGCCTCACATTACACACAGAAATCACAATAGCGTGATGCATCAAATAAACAAATTTGCCTCACATATAGTCGCATATAACATGTAAATGTTATGTTTCAACAGTCAAATTTTCTATTCCTTATCTAGGAGTTTTGGTACTTAAGATGGTTTAATTGGGATGCTTGCTAGTTCTGTTTATTATTTTACCAGTCAGTGCCTTTGTTGAAACAGAATCTAGTGAACAGCCATTGCTGCTTTTAATTTTCTTTGGGGTATATTGTGTATTAATGTTTGTTTGAACTTCTATGAGTTTATGATCAGATTACAGTATGCATTACATGATAATTTCTTCAGTGTATGTAAAGATCAGATTGTGAATATTTTAGCTGCTAGCTGGCTCTGTTATATGTTGAGCACAAATTTCTCAGTCTTAGATTTTTTAATTGTCTTTGGTTATTTCCAGTTTAGTTCCCTGCATCTCTCTCGGGAACCCTATCAGAGTAGTTTTGATCTGGATTGACCTTAGCTCTCTACTTTTCTAGTCCTTTCAGTACAACTGCTGCTTTTTTTTCTACTCATCGCAAATTGTTGCTCTTTGCTACTTACTGATATGATTACCTGCAATGACTACCTACATTGCAGCTTCCTGGAATGTCTGCCTACATTGCAGCTTCCTGGAATGTCTGCCTACATTGCTGCTTCCTGCAGTGACTGCCTACATTGCTGCTTCCTGCAGTGACTGCCTATGTTGCTGCTTCCTGCAGTGACTGCCTATGTTGCTGCTTCCTGCAGTGACTGCCTATGTTGCTGCTTCCTGCAGTGACTGCCTATGTTGCTGCTTCCTGCAGTGACTGCCTATGTTGCTGCTTCCTGCAGTGACTGCCTATGTTGCCCTTTCTGCAATGACTCCCTACACTACCACTTCCTGCAGCACTATCCTGACATAGGGGTAAATTTTGTAATGTGTTTTCAATGAGTTGTGTTGAAAATGCTTCCAATTTAAGTACAGGAAGCTTTTTCTTCAAGGTTTGTTATTTCTTATTTGGCTGGCCTAAGCTCACTCTTGAGCTTGTATAATTTTTGTTATGGTTCCTCCTTCACCTCACTCGTGATACAATCCCATGCTCAAGATTCCCTATTGCTAGTCTCCGTGGATTATTACCTACTTATTCTCCTCCACACTCCTATCCCATACTTTTCTATTTCTACCCAGCTTTTCTATTTTTCCATTTGTGGTTGGTCATGTTGTCCTACTTTATGCTCATAGGCAGATAAGAGAAAATGGAATGGGGCACCAATACAGGTTACTGAGGAAGGGGTGATAGGAGTACAGTACTGTATAAGGAAATATGTGTGCATGTGTGTTGGGTACAGTAGCACATGCATTTGTGTGTGAACACATGAGTAATTACAAGTGGAGTTACAGGATGAGAGCTATGGCCATGGTTTTGCATCCACCACCTTTTCACTTAACTTGTTCCAATCATTTACCACTCTGTAAAAGAAAACTTCCTAATATTTTTTTTTTTTTTTTTGCATCTTTGTTTTGTTAGCTTGAATCTATGACTTATCGTTACTATTTTGTATGTAATGATCATATCGCCTCTTTTTCTTCTAACTCTGACATTTAATAACTTTAGCCTCTCTTTGTAGCCCTTGTTTTTCAGGTCTGGAAGCCATTTCATAGCATACTGTTGCACCTTTCCAAGTTCTATATTTTTTGTACAATCTCTGTATATTACAATTTTGCTCTCACAGAAGTTGTGAATAGTTTCTTCCATCCTTTGTATGTACAGGTGTGTTACTTATGCATGAGTGCATATTTTTCATTGAAAGTATGGTTATATAATTTTTCTGCATCTGTGATCATATGTATGTAATTACCAAAGTGTAATTACAGGATGAGAGTTGTACTCATGGTGCCCCATCTTCTTGGTACTCTTTCATACGATTCTTTGAAACAACTGATGGTTTTGCCATCCACCGCCTGTTCACTGAACGCTTTCCAACTGTCTGCAATTCTGTGTACTGTATATGTTTCTAGCTTTTGGAAATGGTTGGAACTACATAATGAGCCTCATATTATATATTTAGTTTTTCTGTAGATAGTTATTAGATTTATATTCAACTGTAACATTTAAGATGTTTGAGAATGACTCCCTAATGACTTAGTCATTTTAGCAAACTATAATCTCAGTGATCATTTACCTATCAGGCTCAAAATACAACTTATTCAACATTACTGGCAGGAACTTGATATTTCCAACTCTTGAAATTTATTTAACCTTTGTTTCAGTAATCCTGACCTTTGAGCACCTTCAATGAATATATTGCAAGATATTTCTTTTGTCCCCATTCCAGAACATAGTGTCATGTGACAAGCTCATTAATTTTGGTGTTATTATGTCTATGCATGAATTACAGTATTGCTGTATACCTTTTATTTCAGATATTCTTCCTGCCTTGAAATAGGAGAGAAGTACAGAGCACAGACACTCACCATAGCTGATTGGCCCCAGGCAATGCTATGATAGTTGTTCTATCAAAATCATCTTTAGGTAAGTATGGTTGTTCAAGTTATGTTATTGACATCCTATGCTTGCTATCACTGGTGGGGCCCTCGATTATTATTATTATTTCTGTATGTGTGTGCTACTCAGGATACAGTTCACCTTCCACTAGTACTTAAATTACTAAATAATAGTAGTTTTTAAAAAGATTCTTACAAATTGTGAATTTTTGCTATTAAAAATTGATTCTATTTTGATAATTGACATGAAACTAATTGTAAAATGCTAGTTTTATTAATAATTTAACCATACACACATTTGTTTTCAAATTTGTGGAAATATGACAACACAAAGTTAAAGCACAAAAAAAAAAAATAAGATTTTAGAGTATTCACAATATTAATTGAATAATAAACATCTAAAGTTCTAATATTATACAAAATGTTCACATTGAGATACATCTTCTGGAAAGAAGTCATGTGTCTTTTTTTGGAGAGCACAGTCCCTCAGATGTGTGTCGTCTGGTGAGCACAGTCTACCCTCAGACGTGTGATGTCTGGTGTGCACAGTCTTCCCTCAGATGTGTGTCGTCTGGAAAGTATGGTCATCCCTCGGAAGCGAGTCTTCAGGGCAGCACAGATGATGTTGCCACAAGAGATCCCAGGAAGTCTGATAAACACTCTTCTTCCAGGTTTTCCCCTAAGATAAACTGGAGTGTTAAGATAGATCCCACATATATTTGGTAAAAAGCATTGTACTTGATTACTGAATATCAAAAAAGCTTATGATCCATAAAGGCTTATCCAGTAATAATGAAAAAAAAATTACTGTTCAAACACATTTTGAGATTTATTAATTAGTAGAGGAAAAGTTTAAAAGTAGAGGAAAATATATTTCATATTATATTTTTCATCATTATGCTCTTAGTAATAAAATTTAATTTTAAAGATATTGAAATACTGTATTGTATGTTAATACATATGCAATACATTAAGGTAATTGTAATTAGCGAGTCGAATGATTATTCAACAAAATGCTAACAACTAATTAGCTGAATTAGAACATGACCATTGCAAGGCATCAACTTTTGACTAATAGTATTACAATTATGTTAATTTTTATACTATACATTATCAGATGCAAACCTCATTCTTAGAAGACTGATGTTACAATGATCTTATAGCAAAACTGAATAATGGGTTTCTCACCTATGAGAACAAGTTTACAGGATCTTGGAATCTCTTCCTGCCACTGATCAATAGGTTCGGCCTCGTACAGCTCTTGCACCGATTGTAGCATGACACGCCGACTCTCTCCAACCACAGACATTATACCCTGCAATTGTATTGTCTTATTACTACAGTACTTTCTTATTTGACATGATATTCATAATGTTATTTTTAGCTGCATCAGTGTTAGCTGTGGCTGCATGAGTCGGTGATGGCTGTGGCAGCATGTGTTGGTGTTGGCTGTGGCAGCATGTGTCGGTGTTGGCTGTGGCTGCATGTGTCGGTGTTGGCTGTGGCTGCATGTGTTGGTGTTGGCTGTGGCTGCATGTGTTGGTGTTGGCTGTGGCTGCATGTGTCGGTGTTGGCTGTGGCTGCATGTGTCGGTGTTGGCTGTGACTGCATGTGTCGGTGTTGGCTGTGGCTGCATGTGTCGGTGTTGGCAATGGCAGCATGTGTTGGAGTTGACTGTGGCTGCATGTGTCGGTGTTGGCTGTGGCTGCATGTGTCGGTGTTGGCCGTGGCTGCATGTGTCGGTGTTGGCTGTGGCTGCATGTGTCGGTGTTGGCTGTGGCTGCATGTGTCGGTGTTGGCTGTGGCTGCATGTGTCGGTGTTGGCTGTGGCTGCATGTGTCGGTGTTGGCTGTGGCTGCATGTGACAGTGTTAGCTCTAATCAGTTTCTCAATATAATAACAGGTCAAAATTTAGATTTAATAATGTGACATGTTCAGATTCATTTTGCTATGCTATTTAAAATCAGATATAACATTTTCTATATTAATATAAAATTTTCTAGAGATGTCTCTTGACATTGTGAACTTCCCTCTGTTTTAATTACATTTAACCTCTCATTCATTTAAGACAGCTGAGTGAAAGTATTTTTGCAAATTTTAAAGTTTCCAGCTGATTTATTTTCTTCCGAAAAATTAAATACTTGATAATAGACATGTATTCCATGGTTCCACACAAAGATCACATTAGATTACACAATTTTATGATTTTTTCTTGTATATATTTATTACAGTATTCCTCATTCTTGTTTTTCTTGCATATTTTTACATTCCCAGACCTCTTACCTTCATTCTGTATATATTAACATGTTGTCCCGCGGAGTTGGTGAGGGAGCGCTCCCACAAGAGGACCTCCACCAGGCTGTCCAGGGCAGACTGAGTCATGCTTCCCTCAGCCTCGAGAGTCACCGTCCGTACCCGCTGCACACTCATACAAGTAAGAAGCCATATTATAAAACATAATAATTAATATTTATAACATTTTAAAATGCATACATCACAAGCGGTGACTCGGGTTGGATGAGCTTTAAGAAAATAATATAAATATTTACACTTTTTAGAGTAACAAAGGAGATTCTAGAATCTCCTAAAGGAGCTTATGGCAGTACTATAGTGAGACAGTCAACACACCTGGTCTAGATGTGGAGTGCCATCAACAAAACGCGAATGAAGAGTTCGATTGTAAGACTCGTTATCAAATTTATCATATGCATGGAGGTCCAGGATTTTGTCTAAATCGATTCTGAAAGAAACTTGATGATAGTTGATAGAGAAAACACAGTCTAGTATAAAGATACAGCCAGAGGCTTGGGCGTAGTAAAAGAACTTTGACATACGGAGAATGTCACAATAATGTATATGAAACAATTGATAAAGATAAAAATGATCTGCGTATATTTCCTGCACTCGGCAGTACAGTACTGTACTTGTCAGTAAGTATGAGAGAATGTCTGTGTTTATCCAATGTTGGGGCCAGATACTTGGTGCTAGCTCCACCCCAAGTTTGCAGAGTGAATGGTCTTGGGTACGGGATGGACAATACTTGTTGGGGGTTGAACCTAATAATGACTCTACCCACAAAACTGGCAGGCCACATCCCCAGATTTCTTTATATTTTTCTGTGAGAAAAGGAGGGGGGGGGGGAGATAGGAGATGATTGAAGAGAGGTGAGGGAAGAGGGTGAGACGGGGGGAATATTGAGAGAGGGTAGGGGGAAGAAGGAAAGAGACATGGGGATGGAAAGAATGTTGGAGAGTGAGTGGAGGGATATGTTGAGAGATGCAACAGACCCATGTGCAGCGGGGTCCCCCTCCCCCCAGTTCCCCAGTGTAGTTATATGGAGCACTAGAATGGTGCAGTAGATACACATATGGGGGTCTGGTAGCTGAGCGAACAGCGTGCAGGACACGTAACTCTGTGGCCCAGGTTCAATTCCCGGACCAGGCAGAAACAAATGGGCAAAGTTTCTTTCACCCCTTGATGCCCCTGTTATCTAGCAGTAAATAGGTACCTGGGAGTTAGACAGCTGTTATGGAGCTGCTTCCTGGGTGTGTGTGTGTGTGTGTGAAAAAAATAAACAAATTAGTTAGTAGTTAAGTTAGTTACAGTTGATTGATTGACAGTTGAGAGGCAGGCCAAAAGAGCAGAGCTCAACCCCCGCAAGAACAACTAGGTGAATACACACACACACACACACACACACACACACACACACACACACACACACACACACACACACACACGCACACACACACGAGTGTTGGGAAGACAGGACACCACGAGCGTAGCTCTCATCCTGTAACTACACTTAGGTAATTATACACACACACACACCAAAGTTCAGGGATAAATCACTGTTGCTGGCACTCGTGGGGCTAGACATAATATAAGCCAAGAAAAATCCTTACAAATAGTGGTGCCCTCCCCTAGACTAATACTTTCCGCTTCAAAAGCCCCCCCCTTTGTATCCCTTATATGCTCCCCAATCCTTCATTCTTCATTCCAAAAGACCCTCTCTGCCACCCTTTTCATGTCTCTAAAATTGTGACACGACCCTTTATGGCAGACTTTCTTATGTATGTAAATATGATTGTAGTGGGGAAGACAGTGGTCATCATCCATGTCACGCGTGAGGGCAGTTACCTCCCCTAATGTCCAGGAACTGAAGGGATCAATGAAATGCAAGGCAAGTGGCACTTTCACCAGCTGCAACCCTGTGCTACCTTTCACCAGCTGCAACACTGCACTACCTTTCACCAGCTGCAACACTGCACTACCTTTCACCAGCTGCAACACTGCACTACCTTTCACCAGCTGCAACACTGTACTACCTTTCACCAGCTGCAACACTGCACTACCTTTCACCAGCTGCAACACTGTACTACCTTTCACCAGCTGCAACACTGCACTACCTTTCACCAGCTGCAACACTGCACTACCTTTCACCAGCTGCAACACTGTACTACCTTTCACCAGCTGCAACACTGCACTACCTTTCACCAGCTGCAACACTGCACTACCTTTCACCAGCTGCAACACTGTACTACCTTTCACCAGCTGCAACACTGCACTACCCTTCACCTTCTGCAACACTGCACTACCTTTCACCTTCTGCAACACTGTACTACCTTTCACCTTCTGCAACACTGTACTACCTTTCACCAGCTGCAACACTGTACTACCTTTCACCTTCTGCAACACTCATAGTTGCATGCAAGAGTTTTGGCTTGGTGCATCTTGAGGAACAGAGGGCAAGGATAGAGTGAAGGTGTCAGCCAGCAATGTTTACAATAGTGGCTGACCATCTGTGTCAAACGCTTCCAACCTCACACAGTATAGACCTTGTGAGTTACACAAGATGGAGATGAAGGAAATCAGTACAAATATGAATTAAGATTTCAGTAAAGTATTTTAAATTAAAAGCAATTGAATCAAAATTTAAAATGGGATTCATTGACAAACTACTACTTACAATTACAGCATCATCCAACACTGAATATGTTACAAAATAGATATTACATTATCTTTAAATGCACTTTTACTACATCTCCCAAATGAAAATAATGACACATGAAATTCACTAGATATCAGATACAGAAAATTATCAACATACTAAATATCACGACTATAACTTGGAAGAGATTACAGTGGACAGATGGGCCTCTAGCCACCAGTACGTAGCTAAAGGGGCAGTGGATTTACTGGAGCAGTAGGCCTATAAACATACGGATATCATGCACGAAAACGAACATGGTGAACCCGTTTTATTCCGTCCTTTAATATAAAGTTAAGTAGTGACATGTTGCTGGAGTGCATATGTTTTTTATTCTGTATAAAGGTTCTAATAATTTATAATTTCATGTGTTGTAGATACTATCACTGATTGTTGGCTAAGAGAAATAATTAATGACCCCTCCCCAATTAGCTGTCAAAAATCGAAATCTTTGATAAATTAGTTTTCATTAAGAATAAAGAATACAAAAGCCTACTGTCCCATAGGCAACCACTATATTAATTATCCTACAGATGAAACAATCCAGCTATCCCTATAACCTATTAGTTTGTTTCTTTAGTCACCAACTGTTTCCAAACCAGTCTTTCCCGAATCTAAACTTAATTTACATACATTGTTTGATATTATATTTTGTCTTGGTATATTTAAAACAGATTGGAGGAAAGCAAGCGAAAATAGGCAGTAGATACCACACTAGAAGAGGGAGTGACCGGCCGGGCTCGTACCTGCACCTCTGTGTCAGCACCACCTCCGCCGAGCTGTTGATCGTCCTGCAGGCACAACAAAAGGGCAAGTCTTAGCACCAGGTACAATACAGTCAGCAGCAGGTGAAGATGGGATAAGTACCTAGGAGATTGCTACCTACTTCCCCCCCCCCCTCCTAAACTCTCCTCTGCTAGGTAAGGGAAGAGAAGGAGAGCGGGGGGGGGGGAGGGGGAAGGAGGGAGTGGGTAGCAAGGAACTGAGCAGCCAAATCTCTTGATATGCCATTACCTAAAAAACTCGACCTAACCGAACCAGGAACGTCCAAACCTTTCACTTCGTAGATGTTTTACGTCCACTGTGCATCGAAGTGATAGGTTAGTAGGTTGGATTTTTCAACGCAATGGCAAATCATGTGAACGGGCTGCTGAGTTCCCTTGCTAACCACTCCCTTTTCCCCCCTTCCCCGCAAATCAGCTCCTCTGCTGCACACTTCCCCCTTCGTCAGCACCCCTGCTACCCTTCTCCAGCAAGTAACCATCTTCCCCACTCCCTCAGCTCCCCTAATAACCCCCCTTCCCTTCCTGTAGATCTCACCTGACAAGGTCTGTGACGCCCTGGAGTTCTCCACCGTCGACCAGATCCGTCTTGTTGATGATAAGCAGGTCGGCCAGAGCCACTTGTCTGTGGAGGGGAAGACCTGGTTATCGAACCTGTAAACTGAGGCGAGGGAAGGGCGGCTATGTGTTCTGGAGACATCCGCGTGGTGACAGTGGCAGGAGTAGCCTGAACCTCAAGAAGGTAACTATTGTAAATGGCAATGTTACCTCGAGGTCAGAAATGTAACTATTGTACATGACAATGTTAACATAATGCATATTCAAAATATTATGATTAACAACTAATTACCCACTGTATCATGTTCTTAATAACTGATTTAAAAACACACGTTATAAATAGTTTTGTGGCAGTGTTAAGAACATTACTTAGTTACGTGTCTACGTCATTTTCGATAATTTCCTCCAGAAGGTGTTTCATTAACATAAGCAAGCCACAGTCCCTCAGATAGTTGCTTCAGGCTTCCCAAACAATTGAGATGTGAATTGTGTGGTGGACGCTCGGAGCAACTTGGCCTCGTTTATTGATGGCATCTACAATGATGCAACCCGTCCTCGACTCAAGTCCATTACATCCAGCGGTCGACCCCGCAGACGCATTCATAAATTTTAACATGCTATTCATTCAAAACGGGAATTTTCTCAAATATAAATGAATATTATAGTATATTGTGTATATCTAGGCATAGGTTAGGTTAGGTGTCAACCCATCCTCGACTCAAGTCCATTACATTCAGCGGTCAACCCCACAGACGCATTCATAAATTTTAACATGCTGTTCATTCAAAACGGGAATTTTCTCAAGTATAAATTAATATTATAATATGTTAGCATATTGTGTATAAATAGGCATAGGTTGGGTTAGGTCAGGTGTTTAGGTTCTGTTGGCAATTATTTGTATTTGTAGTACGTGGGTGAAGCATTTACAGCGTTGTGGTTCGAACAAAATTCGGCAGTGAAGCACTTGTTCCGGATATGTTCGAACGTCAGCAGTTGTGAGTCGTGTGTAAACCGCTTTTCATTCATAAACAGGGGGTTTGGCGGGTGCATGGAATTACTTTTGGGTCTCTGTTTGGAAGATAAGCTGAAACCGTTTTTCATTCATAAACAGGGGGTTTGAAGGGGCATGAAATCACTTTTGGGTGCTTGTTTGGAGGACGGGCTGCGTCATCAGTTGTAAACCTTTTTCATTCATAAACAGGGGGTTTGGCGGGTACATGGAATGGACTTTGGGCCTTTGGAAAACTGGCTGCATCATTCAGCCCGTCCTCCAAACAAAAACCCAAAAGTGATTCCATGCACTCGCCAAACGCCCTGTTTATGAATGACAAACGGATTACACACGACTCACAATTGATTTCGTTCGAACACTTCTGGAACAAGTGCTTCACTGACGAATTTTGTTCGAACCACAACGCTGTAAATGCTTCACCCACGTACTACAAATACAAATAATCACCAACAGAACCTAAACACCTAACCTAACTTAACCTATGCCTAAATATGCACACCATGGTAACATAAAATAATAATAATTTATATTTGAGAAAATTCCTGTGTTGAATGAACAGCATTTTAAAATTTATGAATGCGTCTTTGGGATCGACCGCTGGATGTAATGGACTTGAGTCCAGGACGGGTTGCATGTGTAAACGTTTTTCATTCATAAACAGGGGGTTTGGCGGGTGCCTGGAATGGACTTTGGGTCTTTGTTTAGAGGACGGGCTGCTACATAAAATAAATACTTATTTTCTTACAAATATAGAATTGAACAACCCGTTCTCGCAAATTCGTAAAGTCAATATTGACTTATTAACTACGTGCATAGGTGATATACTGAACATAATAGATACCCTTAAAAAGATTCATAGAAAACACCGACCTTACCTAACCTTGTTAGTATCTTAAGATAAGCATCTTATTGCTTCGTAATTACAATTATTACTTAACCTATACCTATTATAGGTTAGGTAATAATTGTAATTACGAAGCTATAAGATGCTTATCTTAAGATACTAACAAGGTTAGGTAAGGTCGGTGTTTTCTATGAATCTTTTTAAGGGTATCTATTATGTTAAGTATGTCACCTATGCACATATTTAATAAGTCAATATTGACTTATTAAATTTGCGAGAACGGGTTGAATTGAAATGCCAAGTTTTTGAGGCATACGAACTAAACAAAACCGATTCAAGAATTCAAAATTGAACTGAAAAACATTTTGGACATAAATTTTATAACATTAACAGTAAAAGTAAAATTATCAGCTATAAGACACAAGGCTGCGATTGGAACCTACATACACTGAAGAAGAGAATAACAATATTTGGAAATTGTATAGTACATAATGATGTCTACTTGTTGAACTGTTATTGTGATTTTCGCTTACCTAATTTTCAGTCAGTCCCGTGGCGTAGTGGTAAGACTACACCTGGCGTTTCCCGAACTCTTTGTCCTGGGTTCGTTTCCTGGCCGGGGAGGATTTATTGGGCGTCAATCCTTAACTGTTGCCTCTGTTCACCCAACAGTAAAATGGGTACCTGGTTGTTAAACGATTTGACGGGTCGTATTCCGGGGAATATAGGATTGAGGACTTGCCCGAAACGCTATGCGTACTAGTGGCTGTACAAAAATGTAAGAATTCATGTATATATATAATTTCCGTGTAATATGCAACCGTTTATGAAGTTTTTATTTATGCAACTGTAGAAACAAGGATCAGACCTAATTCTCCTTGCCTATAAGTGCAAACATTTAGGTAGGCACCTACATGTGTGTTAACTAACAAACACATACAGACCTCACAGCTTCATTGATGACGCCTTCTGATTTCTTCTCGCTGATGTTCTGAAAAATATACAAATGTAATAGAAGTAATGCAGCTCAATGTCCATTACTCGAGGGAAATTAGGGAGAAGGAAGAGAAGGCGTACAAGGAGGAGCAGGATAATAATAACTAAATTAAAAAATAACTCATTTTGTCGGGGAACATTAAGCCAGTGTACGTTAGGCAAATATCTACGACCCCCCCCCCTCGATATTTGTCTAACGTGTTCCCCCTGTACGCACTTTAACGTATGTATAGGGGGGGGGTACGTACGTTATAATACGTACTGCCTAACGTGCCCCCCCCCCTCTTCTACCCAAGGTCGAATTACTGACCCTCTCCAGGAAGCAACCTTACAACTGGCTGACTAAATTCTGGGAACCTATTTACTACTTGGTAAACAGAGATATTAGGTCATAGGAAACGCGCCCAATCATTTCTGTCCCGCTTGGGATTCGAACCAGATTTCCCGATCGTGAGTAGAGACTATCCCGACTGTTCTACCGGGACCTTAAGGATAATAATTGTGTATGTCGCTTGTATTTTTTAGGCTCTGCTTCACTTGAAGTTTACAAATTAAAATTTTTAATGACCTGATGCATTTTGCTAGTGTATAACTTAGCATCTTCAGAGGCAGACACACACAGAATAAAGAACAAACACCACATGTCATAGTTTACATGGTGCAATGATTGGGGGGGGGGGGTTACCGTGTCCAGACGATTAGGTAATATGGGCTTTCATTCTCATTAGTCAACAGAGGCGGTGGAGTGGATTGTAAACTGGCAGTTTTCTCTTAAGTTTGTTGATTGCAGGAAATACCTATCGTTATCAAAACCCCTGAGAGAGCTGCCACTGCTATACAAGACCACTACAGGACTATACATGACTACCTTCAGCATTCATTCAAAATGCTGTATACATGACCACCATCATGGCTACCTTCAGCATTCATTCAAAATGCTGTATACATGACCACCATCATGACTACCTTCAGCATTCATTCAAAATGCTGTATACATGACCACCATCATGACTACCTTCAGCATTCATTCAAAATGCTGTATACATGACCACCATCATGACTACCTTCAGCATTCATTCAAAATGCTGAAGAAAGAATGACTAACCAGCAGCTTACCTTCATGGCATATTTGGCGTCGAGCACCGTGACGATCCCTGTGGGAGAGGAGAGGATGAGCAAGGAGCCTTGGACTACGATACTCCGCGCACACAACAATATACATAATATATGCGGTGTTTCACAACACTTGAAAAAATCTTTATGGCTCAAACTACAGTCTTCTCGGCGTGATGCCTTCTTTTGATAATTAATTTTATGGTTCAATTATAAAGTTAATGTAATATAGTCGTGTCTACCCTTACGTTAGCCCTCCTAACATACGTCTAATGTAGACAAAAATTAGCCTACAAGTTATAAAAATATATTTCAAGAACAAATGTGACAAAATACTGAACGTCCGTGACCATTAAAGTATCAGTTTCACTCTATATACAAGTGTCTAAGCAGCCTGGGAGCCGGTCGGCCGAGCGGACAGCACGCTGGACTTGTGATCCTGTGGTCCCGGGTTCGATCCCAGGCGCCGGCGAGGAACAATGGGCAGAGTTTCTTTCACCCTATGCCCCTGTTACCTAGCAGTAAAATAGATACCTGGGTGTTAGTCAGCTGTCACGGGCTGCTTCCTGGGGGTGGAGGCCTGGTCGAGGACCGGGCCGCGGGAACACTAAAGCCCCGAAATCATCTCAAGATAACCTCAAGATAAGCCTAATATTGTCACCAATCACCCACACTAGAAGAAATGCTCAGCATCACCTAAGATTCAGATCTAACCTAACCTTCCCACTCGTCTCTTCTACACTGTTCAGTTGTTGTCCTAACACACTCAAGCGAAGCTTTACATCACAATACAGTAACAATGTATAAATGCACCACATTCCCAAAGAGCTGCGGGAAAATCTGATACGTGTATATATCTGTGTATGTGAAGATATGTCATTATTATAATCTTTTAAAACAAGGTGGACTTTGAAAGATATATTTTGTTTAGTATTGTACACTTGTTAAATCTGTATTGTATTTGGTAAAGATATGTAGCCTCATATTATTAATACAATAATATACATTTATAATATCAAGAAATTCCCCACATACAATTAGTAAATTAACACTGTACTAGTTCCTTTGTTTTGACCGACCCTAAAATTATTGCTTTTGACTATTTCTGTATCTCTATTTTGGTTTATTCCCATTTAGTCTTAGAGCATGGTTTAAAAAACCATATTTCGAGACCTATTTAGTTTAGGAAATTTATGAGGGGTATTGAAGTGTCGAGTTAATGTCAATTTATAGCATTATTACCCCGGTAATTTAAAATTAATGTCACTCGATATTTTAAGTCATGCCCGAACCACTATGCGTAATTAATGCCTTTGTAAAATATAAGAATACTACTTGACCGCTGTAATATGATCCTTTGTATATCTTCATCATCATCATCATCATCATCATCATCATCATCATAATAATAATAATAATAATAATAATTTATATTATTTTGACGTCATCAAAATGGCGTATAATAACTGACGTATAATAATATCTAGTAAACTTCTTGATAAATTTAATTCTTTAAAACACGGTGTCTTTACAACAACCGTGTTTTTAAAGAATGAAATTGGCCAAGAAGTTTACTAGATATTATTATACACCATTTTGATGACGTCACAAAGAAGGATGACATTTGGGAAGAAATATTGACCTAGGCTGTAATAATAATATAAATAATGATAAATATTATTATTATTATTATTATTATCAAGATATACAAAGGGTCGTATCACAACGGTCACTTAGATTATATACTTTGATGGTAAAAGGTTATATTAGTTTTCGGTAATTATCATAATATCAAGGGAAAGAATTCACTATAAAATAAAGTTTACAAGAAAGAAATGATTATATATTGAAACATCACAACATTACTCTACCTACCTACCTACCTACCTTGTGGATGTTCCGGGGATCAAGTGCCGTCCCGGCCTCCTACACAAAGATGTCATATATATATATACTCATCATTTCATAATAAAAAGACTTTCTCAAGAATACTTAAATGCCATGACTACAACAAGACTGTATAACCTTTCTCCTAGGCCCATCAACAAGCTGTCTCAATGACAAAATATGATGTCGGAAGCCTCATTCACTTGGTTAACCACTGGTCAATTTCTGGGCAGTTTCCTGTACTCCTCCAACCTCTGAGATAACAGCACATTCTGAGTAGCTGAATCTATAACAACAATCCAACCACTATACCGCCATGCCCGGCGCCCACTACACTATACTGATGACTAGAATTCTTTCACCTGTCCTCTTTACCGTAAATTAATAATTTCATGCCTCCATTTCTTTCGTACATTCCTTTGCTCTATGCCTTGCCTCTATTCCTTTCCTCAAATGCCTTGTCTCTATTCCTTTCTTCTATGCCTTGCCTCCATTCCTTTCCTCTATGCCTTGCCTCCATTCCTTTCCTCAATGCCTTGCCTCCATTCCTTTCTTCTATGCCTTGCCTCCATTCCTTTCCTCTATGCCTTGCCTCCATTCCTTTCCTCTATGCCTTGCCTCCATTCCTTTCCTCTATACCTTGCCTCCATTCCTTTCCTCAATGCCTTGCCTCTATTCCTTTCCTCTATGCCTTGCCTCTATGCCTTGCTTCTATTCCTTTCCTCTATGCCTTGCCTCTATTCCTTTCCTCTATGCCTTGCCTCCATTCCTTTCCTCAATGCCTTGCCTCCATTCCTTTCTTCTATGCCTTGCCTCCATTCCTTTCTTCTATGCCTTGCCTCCATTCTTTTCCTCTATGCCTTGCCTCCATTCCTTTCCTCCGTCCTCTCCCAAATCCTTATCCTCGTATACCTTGTGAGTGCTGTATAGCCATTTGGCTCAGGGTGTTCTGATTATTACCTCGACTCAATCCACCCGCTCTGCTAATACGTCCATCAATCCATTAAAAATGACGTATTAGTTTAAATCAAAGCTAAGTAATACTGACATTATTTGCGTCGGTCTCGGTAAGTTAGGTGGGTTGATTGGGTTCATACATTTCTGGTTAGGCACAACGGTTGTATTTTTTCCGTTTCTGGTTTGGCAAAACAACAGCATTTTTTTTTTACGCTACTCGTCGCCAAACGGTTGCTTTTTCTTTTACGTTTTTGGTTAGGTAAAATAGTTGCATTTGTTACGTTTCTGGACGGAAACATTGCAACTGTGGTTAGGCACCACAGTTGCAATGTTTACGGAGTGGTTGAACACACAGCTTCCATAGATACACGCGCTCACAGACCAGCCCGTCCTCCTAAGGTGTCAAAACGTCAAGAAACCGGTCAATTTAGTGTCCTAACCTAACAGACTAAGGCAGAGGACCCAAAACAGAAAACGGGACAGTACGTCACTTTCGCGAGCCGATTTTATTTTCCAGTACGGCGATTTTTAGCCTTAGTAAATCATACGAGCGAAAAGCGAAGTTCTTTGTTAGAGGACAGGTTGAACATCGACTGCCCTCCCACACCCCCGTACGCAGTACCATTCTCACTATCACTTCCAAACCATTACATTTATATAAAGTATTCCCCCCCCCCCACACTACGTCAGCCTTAAAAACATTCTTTCCAGCTACGTCAGACTTAAAAACATTCTTTCCAACTACGTCAGACTTAAAAAACATTCTCTCCAGCTACGTCAGACTTAAAAAAAACATTCTTTCCAAATACGTCAGACGTTAAAAAACATTATCTCCAACTACGTCAGACGTTAAAAAACATTCTTTCCAGCTACGTCAGACTTAAAAACATTCTTTCCAGCTACGTCAGAGTTAAAAAACATTCTTTCCAGCTACGTCAGACTTAAAAAAAATTCTCTAGCTACGTCAGACTTAAAAATCATTCTCTCCAACTACATCGGATTTAAAAAACATTCTCTCCAACTACGTCGGACTTAAAAAAAACATTCCCTCCAACTACGTCAGACTTAAAAAACATTATCTCCAACTACGTCAGACGTTAAAAAACGTTCTTTCCAGCTACGTCAGACTTAAAAAGCATTCTTTCCAGCTACGTCAGACTTAAAAAAACATTCTTTCCAGCTACGTCAGACTTAAAAAACATTCTCTCCAGCTACGACAGACTTAAAAAAGTCATTCTTTCCAGCTACGTCAGACTTAAAAAACATTCTTTCCAGCTACGTCAGACTTAAAAAACATTCTCTCCAACTACGTCAGACTCAAAAAACATTCTCTCCAACTACGTCAGACTTAAAAAACATTCTCTCCAACTACGTCAGACTTAAAAACATTCCCTCCAACTACGTCAGACTTAAAAAACATTCCCTCCAACTACGTCAAACTTGAAAAACATTCTCTCCAGCTACGTCAGACTTAAAAAACATTCCATAACAACAAGGCATCTCGTCATCACTCAAAACACCGCCAAGTGCCCCTTGAGCGCTGCCGTCTACCCGCCCACACCACCGTGAAAATAACCCCAGCGAGGTCGGTGAATAATTAGCGATTAACCTTGATGAAATTATCACCTTAAATATTGTCGTGTAATTGAATGGTGTAATACCCACATTATGAAGCTCCTGTGTCCGAGAGTGTCCTTCACCAACCTGTTCTCTGTAACAAATACCTCGCATTTTGTCGTCAAACTCCCCCCAACGGTCAAAATATGATGTACTTTAAATCATGGCGGCTCACAAACATTCACGTTTTCTATGCGTGGGCTGATCGGTAAGGTTAGGAAAGGTTCAGGAGTTTTAGTACACCATTTTCTGCCCGTTGTGGTAACGGGAGAGGACAGGCTGCCTCCAAGAGAACGTTGGCTGTAAGAGTGGCTCTAAATATCAACTATGTGCGTTGACGTGGACTCTTTGTACTCGTGAGGTCAATGAGTACATAAAGCGTGATAAAACAACAAAGTGATATAAAATATAGAAGCCACTTATAGGGTTCTATAAGATATAGAAGCTACTTATAGGTTTCTATAAGGTATAGAAGCTACTTATAGGTTTCTATAAGGTATAGAAGCTACTTATAGGTTTCTATAAGATATAGAAGCCACTTATAGGTTTCTATAAGATATAGAAGCTACAAGATTAAAAG